TGATGGTGATGGGGGTGATGGGATGGTGATGGTGATGATGGTGGTGATGGTGGTGTGTTGATGGTGGTGGGGTGATGATGGTGTGATGATGGTTGGTGACTTGTGACGGTGATGGACGGTGGTGATGATGAGTGATGGTGGGTGATGGTGATGATGGTGGTGATGGTGATGATGGTGATGATGGTGATGATCGGTGGTGATGATGGTGATGGTGGTGATGATGGTGGTGATGATGGTGATGGTGGTATGATGGTGGTGATGTGGTGATGATGGTATGATGGTGATGGTTTTTGATGATTGATGTGTGTGGTGATGATGGTGGTGCAACATTGTGATGAATGGTGGTTGTGGTTGATGCATGGTCAGGTTGACTGGTGGATGGATGGTGTCGGTGATGAATGATGGTGCGTGATGGTGTGGTAGGTGATGATGGTGTGATGGTGATGATGATGGTGGTGATGATGATGGGACTTCACAAGGGGGACGTGAGACTTGAGTTATGCATTATAGGTCACTTACAGGCTGTTCATCCAGAGCCATGCTAACAGGATGGACAGCTCTATTCATGGTGATACTTGCCTGTGCTAGAGCTGAACTGAATATCATGGTCACAGGCAACATTTCTAGCCCAGTCGCCAGCAGCAAATTAGAGCACGGAAATTGACAAGTGTCCCTGCATCAATCCCGAGGCCAATGTCACGTTCCCATGCAGGTATGAGATGTAGGTCGGGGCATCATTGAGAACACAGCCCCCCATTGTCTGGGAGAGTTGGTGGAGAAGATGGGGGCTTGTGCTGATGTGGTTGGTTGTTCAGTGCACTTTAAAGGTTATGAATAGTGCCCAGGTGGGACCTTGTTTACAAGTCACTAACTCATAAAAGTAGAGTAGGAGCCACTGGCTCAGCCTTGGAGCTGTGTGGCTCAGGTGAGGACTCAGGTAGGGGACACAGCCTGTGCACATGCCAGAGGTGAGACGCAGTGTGCAGTATCCTGGTGACCTCCACCCTTGCTGCTGCCTACCCCATCCCCCATCCATTCTGGACATGGCAGCCGTGAGGGATCTTAAAATGGAAAGGAGGTCACGTCTGTCCCCTCTCAGAACCTTCAGTGGCTCCCACTACCCTCTCGCAATGACGTCCAAATATTCCACAGTCCACGCTGCCCTCAGCCAAGCTGTTCTCTTCTCCACTTCGGGGCATCTGCATATGCTGTTCCCTGAAGCACCGTTCCCCATTCCTCACATGGCTGGCTCCGCTTCATCTGCAGGTCTCAGCTTAAATGTCACCTCCTCCAGGAGGCCCTCCCTGACCACCCTCCATTCTCTACCACAGCCCTGTGTCTCTTTCCTTCCTGGGTCACACCACTCTGGGAAATCGTGTTACCTAGTTGCTCGTGACATTTCTGTGTGTTTCTGCCACTCGAGTGAAGACAGGTGGAGATAAGCTTGTCTCCCACTCACGTGAAGAGGAGCTCAGATGGGGCAGTGGCTGTGCTTGTCTTGCTGGCCATTCTGTCCCCAAAGTCCTCCCATGGACCAGCATCTGGCACCCAGGAGCTACCCAGTAAATGTTGTCCATCAAAGGGCTGTGGATGGAGCCTGGCACACCCTGGGATGGGGAACAATGAAGCCATGACCTGTCCTGTCACCAGGATACTGCACGTGACCTGGAGAGCTGTCTGCTTCCCTTCTCCCCCCGCCCCATGCAAACTGTAAACTCCGGGAAAAGGCATAAATGACATCTGACTTGGTCACCATGGCACCTTCAACACCTTGCCCTGTGCCAGGCATCCACAGACACCTGATAAACATGTGTTAAGTTCATGTTTTCATCCCAAGCACCCTGGAGTTTTCTGCAGTCATACAGAGACAACAACATCAAGTGGGATAGTTTGGCCACAGAAGTGGACTCTTGCTGGATATGACCAGACAGAGCCCTGCCCAGGCCTCCCTGATGGTGCGAGGCTGACAGAGAGCTCACGTTAACACACCCCAAGCCGGGCACGGCGGTGCACGCCTGCAGCCCCAGCTCCTCGGCAGGCCGACAGGAGGATCACCTGAGCTCAGCAGTCAGAAGCTGTAGTGCACTCTATGCACACACACACACACACTCACACACACTCACACACACACTCACACACACTCACTCACACACACTCACACACACACTCACACACACACTCACACACACACTCACACACACTCACACACACTCTCACACACTCTCACACTCTCACTCACACACACTCACACACTCACACACACTCACACACACTCACACTCTCACACACTCACACACACTCACTCAC